CTAAAAACCGGTTTTGGGCTGAGATTAATGGCCTTCCTTGTGACATAAGACTCCCAGACCCTGACAGTTATATCGATGAAATAGATTGGGACTCGGAAATTGATCCTGAACTGCTTCTGGACTTGGAGAGAGAACCGAACACCCCTGACGAGAAGGATAAAAATGAGAATGTTGTGATTCTTGGAAATTCTCTTCTTTTGAATCAGTCATTTTCCTGTGGTGGATGGGGGGATACGGAAGAGGATGTAGTGAAGGAGAATAACATGTCCTCCAATTGGAAAAACCAAAACTGTGAAAATTCTTGGGAGCAGAATTATGCTCCAAATAATTGCAACATGAAAGATACTGGATATGGAAACTGTTGGAATAATTCTTGGGAATGGAGCCCAAGGGAGAATAACTATAATGAGTGGGACAATAATGAATCTAACTACGTGGATTATCGGGGTGGAGGTTGGGATGCATGGGATGTTACTAGAAGAAAGAGAGAAGGCCCTGGGCGGTACATGTCAAGGTATAAAACCTCAAGATTTCATAGTGATAACCGTCAGAATAATCGGGGATGGAGGAATGTGAGAGGGAGGCAGAGGGCAAATTTTGCATATGAACGACCACCTGTGGATTCGACACAGTGGAACTCTGTGAATTATTGCGGGTGGGCCAATTAACCATTACAAAATTGGCAAAGCAGGAGTCCCTGTGGAATTGGGAGTGGCAAGTTTTGTAAGTAAAAAGTTATAAGCATATGGTATATACTGCTGTAGATTGTACGTCTCAATATTATTTTATTTGTTCTGTGTTGGTATGATAGTATATATTAGGTACAACAGCTTTTGGCAAAGTCCCTGTTATGTTCAATTTCCGTTGCAGTTTTGTAATCTGCTTCTTCGGAAGGCATGTCTGAATTTCTAAATATTATTTTTAATCCTGAGAGTGTGCAGTGTTAAGTGATATGTTTGTTAATCCGTCCAATATATCGATGTATTATAGTAATTATATTGTGACTAGTTGGGTTTTATATCCATCATCGGCGTTCTGTAGCCTGTATCTTGAGTCCAAAGGGCTTCAAATGTATTGATACCTGTAGGAGCTTCCTAGCTGTCTGAGCAAAATTGTGTTGTTCCATCATGGGGTGGGCAATTTTTGATGTTCTTAGTTTCTGTTTATCTACGTTCTGCTGTTTTCATTCTTTTTCTTCCCAAAGTAATCTCTATTTGAAGGATATACTGTTGTCCTTGATCATCTGGATTTCAGGACTCTCTACCAAATCAAGTCTTATTAAGCTTTTTTAGCCCAAGTCTGCTGAGACAAACCAGCCAGGATGTTATAGTTTAACTTGTACTAAACGCGACACTGGTTTTCTGCTAGCAGTATCAACGCCTACCTAGAACAATTATTCATTCTAGGCGTCTTAATTTCATGCTTTCTCAAGGCAAAAAAAGACCATAGACCAAATTTCCATTAAACTTAAGGTCAGGTTAAAATAATGCAAATTTTACAGTTCTGAAGAATTCAAACAATCAAAGTATTTTTCAAATGGACAAGATAAAAGTATAGTATAGTGCGTTTAGTATATACGAGGGAAACAAAAATGATGTAATATTTTAAAAACTTTTTGAACTATTTAATGAAATTTAAATAAATTTTTATTTTTTTTGTTATGTTTAATCATTTCGTGTTTTTAATTTCGAGTTTAATAGATTTTTATAAATAACAATTAATTAATCATTACTAGTTGAAACAACACTAATCATTTTATGACATGTGGTACTAATGTAATATATTGACATATTATAGTGAATGATGACGTGATATAGTAATATGCTAATATGACGTGATATTTTTACCCTTGGAAGAAGATAACAGTTTGGTCAAATCACCCAATACATCAAATCCGTTCACTGATGTCTCAAAATCGGGCTCAATGTCACATTTCAATTTGTTCGACTCTGGTCCAAACTTGGACGTTTGGTCAAGTTCCGAATCAAAGTCATTATAATAGTAGCACATAGTGTTGAACTTTATGTGTAATAATTTATACTAACTCAATATCTATATATACAATTGAAATTTAAAATATAAATCATATTTGATACTTAATATATGATTTGACAACAAAAATTTATTAACTTCATTAATTGTTGAGATTTAGTGCAATTAGGATCTTACTTCTTAATTGACAACTCTCTTTATGAGTAAGATTCTTAATTTTTTTGTTGACATGAGAGAAGATTTAGCCTTACTTTTATATATCATAAAATTTAGGGTTTTTTTAGTGCAAACTTAGACTAATAAGCACACATATATTTGTTGGTCCCAATGGAATACTAGAGGGGAGTAAATAGCACTAAACATTTTGAAAGTGGTTTTTTATGCTTGAAGAGCTCTTTATAAAATAAGATGGATGGTTTAAAACTTGTTGAGATTAAAAGACACCGAGTCAGGAAAGGTTGTGAGAAGTGGACAAAACACAAGTGTTTATAATGGTTCGGTTCCCTTGACCAACATCCATTATTTTGATTTTCTAATTAAGGATTTTCAACTCAATTTCACTAAATCAATGAAATTAACAGTTTTCACCAAGTTTTTACAAGGTGAGCTTTTAACCCAAGCTTTGATTCCTTACAATATATCTTAAAGTGCTTCCTACACTCTAATCAACCAAGAAATAAGATGAAAAAGGAGAACACATAATCACCCTTTTTTATTTAAGATGAATACAATCAAGTTCAAACACTTTTACAAGGATAGGAATGAAGAATAGGTGTGTACGAGAAGGTTCTTTATCTTCTTGCTTAAAATATGATCTTGGTAGCTTTTCTCAACCTTTTTTGACCATTGAAGCTTTTTTTTATACTTAGAGACTCAGATTTTTCTATTAAAGGCAATTTATAGTCGGTTTGAATAGATATGATGCCTTTCTAGTCGTTATTTTATCTTCTGATAATTAAAGTCATCGTTATTTTATCTTCTGATATTTAAAGTCAAATAGATAGACAGTGTTTCACTAATTGGTTAAAGGCAAGCTTTGACTGATTAAGCCTTCTCTTACTTGCACTGTCTGACAGCTTTGCTCACTACGTTAACCAGTTAAAGAAAACTCTAACCGATTAAAAGCATTCTGTTTTCAAACTTCTCCAACCAGTAGTCTTCCTTTAATTGTTAGTTCTTTCTTTAACTGATTGGGGTTTCTCTTCCTTCAACTTTAATCGATTGAAATAGATGTTAACCAATTAAAATATCTTCAAATTTAAGTTCCTTCATTTAGTTCTCTTCAACGGTCAACTTCATTTTAAAATTGGATTTTGGCATTTCAAGGTACTTCATGTCTTGCACTTTAACCGATTACCTCCATTCCTTAATCGATTAGCACGCTTTTATCTTTAGATTGCAGCATTTCCTTAATCAGTAAAACATAGTGCTAATTGATTAAAGCTTTTCTGACTTGTTTTTATATAGTGTCTAGATTTACCTTAATTGATTAAGACTTCTTGTTAATCAGTTAACAATATTATGTTTTCATTAAACCCATTCTACCTTGCCTCTTTAACTAATTAACTCTTCTTATAAGTTAGCAAGTTTCTTGACTTGCCTCTAATCATCACATTTATTAAGGGAATTTAAAACTTTAACTTGTACGCTTAAGTAGTGAAGTTAGATATCAATGACTAAGGAATGTTTTGTTATCATCAAAAACATATGAAGTTAACATTCTTTTTTTTTTTTTTTTATGATGACAAAACACTCTTAGATTAAGAGTGCAATGTCAATATGAATTTGTATTTACGTGTATGAGAAAGATTGCTCCCTCTTAGTATGTGCATAAAAATTCTTTTTCATGCAAGTTTAATGTATATCTATGTACTGTTATTGCTTAAACAAATAAGTGCAATACTTTTAAGATTGACTTTTAATCACATAGATATAAATATTCAGGATAACACATAGATATAAGCATCATTCAGCATTGAAACAAGTAAATTTCATTAGCATCCAAAACTATAAACGTTGTTCAGCAACTTAAAATATAACTAAATATAACCATTGTTCAACCTAAGCAACCTAATTGTTCAGCATGATCAACCTAATCTGTCAACCTATTTTCTTTCTCCCCATTTTTGTCATCATTCAAAAGAGTGCTTGCCTAGACTCAATTTCCTTCATAGTTTGAAGAAAGGGAGGATTCATTAGTGCCAAAGTACTCTTTCAAGGGTTCAGGAGATAAAGTGGAGGAAGAATTAGATGATGTAGAGGATGAGAAGGCAAATGTTAAGGATATGATATGAGGAAGCCTAGTTTTGGAAGGTGGTTTAACAGTAGTCAATGCCAGTTGTGCAGACTTCCTTCTTCTGAGGGTGGTAGTCTTAGAGACTGAACCAGTGACTATTGCTTTACTTTTGTTTTGAGTTTATTGTGGTGTAATCTCCTTTTTGCTTTTTGAGCTGATTCAACTTCTTGTTCCATTCTTTCTTTTACTTTTACTTGATTAGTTGTAGCTTCCTTAAGTATCTCAATAATGAAATCTGAGAGCAATAGTTCTTCAAATTCATCTGGGTTGTGAGCTTCATTCTATTCTGCTTGTTTAGCTTTCATTTCTTTTTCATTTTCCGGTTCTAGATCTTTTTTTTCCACTACTTCTTCACCTTCCTTTTCTTTTTTAGTTCCCATAACTATCTCTACTTTAGGGACCACTTTGTCATTCTGATCTTCTTTTTTCATTTTTAGCATTCTCTTTTGCAGTCTTAATCTCAGCAGAAGCATAAATTTCAAGCTGCTTTATTTTAGTCCTTTCATTCGGAGAGCTTGCAACTCTAGCTTGATTTTTAAATGCAAGAGATTTGGTTTCCTTTTCTTTGAAAATGAAGTTCCCAGGATGCTGCAATCTCTCTTCCATTTTAATAATCCTCTCAATTTTCTCAATCAATTTCCCATCAATCCTCATTAGTAAATTAAACATAATGCCTTTTTGAATAGGAACTTGACTTACTCTAAAGAAAGAAGTAAAAGGAGTAGAAGGAGCTGGGTCCTTTTAAGTGTTTTGATACACTTATTTTGCTCAAGCTTATATCCTATTTTTCGTAAGCTTCCAAGAAAGATACCATGATCCTTGCTCTTGGTCTAATCAGCTTGGTACTTAATGCTTTAGATTCCTTTCTTCTTAACTAGAGAGGGGACTATGTTTCCATATGGTAGGTTGGTCTTATCTCCTAGGCAAGTTGCTTTCATTCTTTCTATCATATATCGTGCTACATTTAGATGAATTTCATTTATTGCAGATTCCATCAACCATATATCCTAAAAGCTAACATAATTGAAACTATTGCTCCTTCCATGCAATGTGAAGGCTAGGAAATAATGAAAAGTCCTCATTTGTGCATTTTTTATATCACTTGCATAACTTTTTAGGGGGTATTTCTCTTTTTTTCCTGTGATTATCTGCCATATGGGTGAAAGGTCATGGTTTAGGGGAATTGAGAATTCTCCCACTTGATAATCTATTTTCAGTAGCTTTCAAATATCAGTAAGAGTGACTTTAAATTCTTTTCCACTCAAGAACACATTCAGCCTGTACTCCTCAAAGGCATTAGGATTTTTCAACTCATCTTTATTTAGGGCAATGCTAAAGTAAAATTTCCTAACAAGGATAGGGCCATAATACGTATCTCCAAAAGTACTTAAACCTTTAATTTTAGGCTTGTCAAAGAACCTAGATAAGTCTGCTTTAACTGAAAGGGTTTTATCAAAACTTCCCCAATCAACAATATCGCATGATATTGTGGCATTTTTTATTTTCTCATGCCTATCAGCATGTGCTTGGTTCCTAAATCGTGAGGTTGAAGGCTTACCTTTTTCAATGGAAATGCCTTTTGTTGCTACAACTTCTTTTGTCTTAGGTGCCATTTTCTTCTAGCTCCCCTCTTTCGTTTCAATTGGCAAATTTAGAACCATTTTA